CAAGGCATTAATCAGATACCTTTCAATCTTGAAGGCCAAGGATATTAAAACAAAAAATTTCAAAAGTTTCTAAAAGTTGCAAAAAGAAATATTCTATAAGTATATGATAATTCTTCTCAAGCCCATTTTTGGTATATATGAAAACTTAATTATTTTTATTTCTTAAATTTCAATAATTATTGCTGATATAGCTGAAGCTGATAAGTTTGCTAATATTTATCAACTATCATTCTTGAGTCAACCATGTGGAAAATACTTGGTATCAAAAAATGACTTAAATAAGACTAAATTAATAGGTATAATTTTCAGAACTCCCAATGCTATGAAACAAGCGATAAGTAGTAGAGAAGAATATAATTATTTATTTCATCCTAAAATAAATGCATTTGGAAGATTGAATATATGATTTTAGAAAAAGAGATGAATTTGAAAAAAATAATATTTATAAAATTAATTATAATTAATTTTATAAATATTATTTTTTTTCAAATTTGTTTCTTTTTTCCAAATTATTGTACAAAAAATATAATAAATATAAAATTTTTTAGCAAGTTTAATATATATGAAGCTATTATTCTTGATTAAATACACATATTGGATCTTGGTCTCTTTAAGTATATGCTGGGTTATACTAAAGAGCTTCTATTAAACCAGTGTGAAAGCAGAATGCTTCAAATCTTTGAACAGCAATTAACATTGATTTCTTGATATTCCAGGCTTAAAATAATAAAGAACTTACCAGATATAATACACATGATAGCTGATGAATTGTGTAATTTAATGAAAATAATAATTTTTGCACTTGATAACCTCTATGAAGATTATCAAAAGCCAGGAATTAGTAATAAATAGTTATGTAAAGTTTATTACAAATTTCTTCATATGTATATTGCCACCTATTAGAAATTATTTACTTATAATTCCTGCAACTAGCTTCACGTATAGAACAAGTGGGTACCTTTTTAATAGCCCTAATAACTAATAATTTATCTTATAGGTCTTCATTAATGATGGGCCAAAAAATTGTTAAAATATTTTCAAAATATTCTGCAAGTGGTCTTCAACTCCCAAAACTTCACAGTTGGTGCTATCATGTAGTATTTGCAATTCAAGAATATAGATCAATAAACAGTATGACCATGGAGACTTATAAGACTCTTTATAAAGATTATGTAAAAAATCCTTATCACAGATCAAAAAAAAGACTATATTAACCAAATTATAATAATGGTATGTTATAATTATAAAATGATCGTTATTTATTACTGATAATTAGTAATGTTATTTTTGCAGTGATATTTATTTTAAAAATAATAAATATTATCACAGTAAATCATCCCCTAGCACTAATAATCATTATTAATAGATTAAGTGACAAAAGTTAACCAAGAATGAAGTTCAAAAGAAGTACCATAAAGCAAAAGGTTTAGTAAATTTTTGTAAATATTAGGCTTAGAGGAATTGGATAATTTTCTTGAAAAAAATAAAGATAATATGAACCCATTATGCATTACAACAATACCGAATTAAAACTCAGTTAGCAACAATGACTTGTAAATTATGATGATAATTGCACAATAACATCAATATTGGATCATGCAATAATAAATATCATTGCAGCCGCAGAGCCCATATAACAAAACAGTTCTTATACTATTACCATAAGTTTTATTTGCAAATGCTGCATGGCTAATATCTTATTAATATTTATTGAAAAGTTTTTCAGTATTTCAAGAAGGATACAAAAAATTTGAATCTATACTAATAGACAAGTTAGCATCTATCTTTTTTACCAAATTTCAATGAATATACAGGAAAAAATTTCAAAAAGTCTAAAATGAAGGGCGTAAAATCAAACTGCATAAAGAGTACATAAATTGAAAAATGCCACAGAAAGCAAATGGATAATTAAATTTCAATAAATGTCAAAATTCATGTTTATTTGTATTATTTATTGCATTAGATATGTATTGTTCAGAAAAACTCTTTCTATCTATCACTTGTATACAAATTTTTCCAGTTTAATTATTTCAAAATACTTTATAACTTTATTTTCTACTAAATTAACCTTAGTTTTGCTACTAAATAAACTTATTCCTAACCAAAAAATACATATAATACTTGAATATTAAATTAAAAATTTTTAAAACTATCAAGAAATGGCCATTTGGCTCTCTTTCTTATATTCTACTTAATAATTCTAAAACAGTTATCTAAACCTACTTTCTGAACTTAAAAAAATCTTAAAGAGCTCATTATTCCATTATAACAAGCTAAATTTCAAGCCTGTAAACCCAAAACTGACAGAAATACACCTAAAAAATCTCTTAAACTCCCTTAAGTTTTGCTCTTTTTTCTTTAAAGTTCTTTTTTACAAAAAACTCTATAGGCATTTTCTGTACAATATTAACTATTTTTAGATCATACTACCCACGTTTTTAACTACCGTATTCCTCTGAAAATAAGCACCCCTTTTTTGCACTTAATGTTGGCCAAGGTAGTTATAATTCAGGCCAAATTTTTTATAATGCAGGCCAGGAGTGCTTATTTTCGGGGAGTGCTTATTTTTGGAGAAATACAGTATTCAAGATTGTTGATTCTCTACTAATTATACCAATTTTATTTTAATTTTTAATTAAAAATTAATATTTACAAAACAAGAAATATTTAACTAACACGAATATTATAGTTTGCACCTATTAAATTACAGTTATGCGACACAACTTGTGCTACACTAGCCACACTAGCCACAGTTACACAAGCTGCAGTATCTAGAATATTCTATAGTGTAATATTATACAAAGAAAAAATTATACTATTCTAAAGCTAATTACAACATCATTTCAAATTTACCAATATCTTTAAGATACAATGCCAACTTCTACCAACAAGCTAGCTGATACTTTGGATTTTGACTATTTTCACTCAATCTGTAAAAATAGTTATGGTATCACACTTTTTGAAGAAGAGGAAAAAAGTCATATGAGACTGATCTCTCCTACACAAGCTCCAACTACTAAAAGTAACTAGAGCAACTAACAAAACTACTCGTTTCTTCTGTGCATCTAACTCAACCTCTCTTGTTAAATATCTATACAATAAATACCACACTAAATTTGTCTCCAACCTAAACAAAACTTACTAACTCTATACAGATTTCTCCATAGTTAAAACTAGAAAAAACACAAACCCGCAAGATATTGAACTAACTGCTACCCTTATCAACCAAATCTCTAACACAACTGAAAATATTCTACTCTTCTCTACTCCTCAACAATGTCATTTTTTTTTTTAATGTTAATGGTGAGACCTTGCTCTTATCTTTATTAAATTTAATCAAAATTTCTTACAAAATCAGAAAAAATTTTATTGTATAAATCTAATACTAAAAATAAGAACTCAGACTAACTAAAAATGCCTAGTAGACAAGCCTAGTTTTTTATCTACAGCCTAAACCAACTAGAGTGGCCAAGGCTCACCTAGATTTGAGTATTATTAGATATTTAATCCAGTAGGTATACCATGTTTAAATTTTATGTGAAGAGTTAATTAAGTTAGATTCAATATTTGGCTGATTAGAGGTGTTGAATATATTAGGGATATATATGGGAGAAGGTGGAGATAAAGTTGTAAAATCAATTTGTGATCTTGATATACAGTAGAGAATCTATAACTTTTTGTATATTTGATGATTAATTTCAAGAAGTAGTTTAATAGTAAGAGAGGTTGCTGTTTTGCTAGATGTAGTATACTCACTTAATGTGTTAATAATATTAATTGGTATTAAGCCAGAGAGTGTAGAAGCTAAAGAAGGTTTATGAGTAAGTTGGTGAGCTTGAAAACTATTAAGATTTAGAAAGAAGTGTAGAGGTTGTGTGCTTGAAGGTGTGAGATTTGAAGTTTGTTATGAATTAAAATATGTTCTAAAGAGCTATGAATAAGGTTGAATAGAGGTTCAGAGGATGGGAAAGATATCCTTGAAGTGAGTTACTTTCTTGTTGGCATATATGATATTTGTTAGGATAGAAAGGGTTTCTTCTATGAAGAATATTAGGCGTTGGTAGATCATCTAAAAGTAATTTGTCTCTGAAAGATTTGTGTATAGAGGATTGGAAGTTGTATGAAAAATTGGAAATTTTTTGATTAAGATAGAGCCAGGTTGCTTGCTAGTTGATTAGAGATATAATTGGGATCAGGGATAGTAAATGACCTGGTCATTTGCTCAAATTTTAAATGACCTAGTCATTTGGCTAAATGACCCAGGTCATTTGGTCATTAGTTATTTGGGTCATTTGCATATGAAGTAATTTTATTGGTCAGATAGCTAATATAAAAAGTTATCAAATACTATGATTTCACTAAACTATAATAGTAACTACATATAAATGTCAAAACTTTATTAAGTTTATCGATATTTCATCTTAAGTAAAGTTGTTTAGAAGAACGAATCGCATATACTGTATCTTGAAATTTTTATATAATTCGTATAGCTTTTTATTATATTAATCTTCAGAACAACTTTACTTAAGACATAAATATCAATTAATGTAGTAAAGTTTTGACTTCTGCGATTATTATAAAAACTACTTTTTGTCTAATAATTAATTTTGATTGGCTAAAAGGCATTAAATTATCAGTTAACAAGGTTAAATGACCTTCTATGGGTCATTTGAATGTGAAATGACCCAATGACCGGTCACTAGTCATTTGGGTCATTTGGGTCATTTCAGGTCATTTACCATCCCTGGAGTGGACACCTACCATTTGCATTTGTAACATAGAAAATCTTCCGACTGTGCAATTATAAAAAAAAGGCATTTAAAATAACATCATCTTTATTGATTATTTTCATTTTAGCTAATGTTATTTTTGATTGAATCAGAGTATTAATATGAGTGTATATCTTACCGCTAGTTGGCACAAACTAAGGAAGAACGGGTATTACGATTGTGTTATGACAAAGCTTCTCCTCGCAAATGTCGAAGTATAGAAGATGAAGAATGTCAAGAGCAATAGCTGGTATGTGACAGAATTGCACACCACAAGCATCAGGCTACAGAAAGCGAGGAATAACGAAATTGAAGCACACCTTTCGCATTTTTTTTTAGAACATTTCTTCGAAATATCTTGCGTTATTCTTTGGTCAAGTTTTTTTTTAGTTTCTTGGTAAGTTTACTTGTGTACTTTCTTTGCATTTTTTTGTAAACCTTGTTACTGATACTTTCGGTAAACTTGGGAAGAAAACCCTTAAGCAAAACCTCTGTTACAATTTCAGCTCACTGCAAAGAAAAGAAATTCACATGGGATTCTGATGTTCTATTGTTCGAATGGAAAGATAGCTTTAGCTGTAGAAGTGCCACTATAGAAGTGCCACTATTTAAATTTATAATCTATAATAACATAAAATAATAATAATTTTCTATAGTGCCATAACTATAGTTTTTACGTAGCAAAGATCGTGTAAGCTGCTAGTGACAATTAAAATCACGTCGCACATAAATTAAGAGGTGCGAACTAATAACTAATAGTTAATTTTAAACCTATCAGTTAACTACATTTTTATAATAAACTACAGGTTATTTTAGTTTTAGTTCTACATATCTAAATATCATTCAATTCAAAAATAATTCACAATATCCAAAAATAGAGCCATTTTCATTATAATAGAGATGTTAACTATGAAACAAGTTGTTTGATCATTTCTTCAGATAAATGAATCTCTTGGCAAAGAACAATATCGTATCTCCGAAGAATATTGATGATCTTCATTTTGATACAATCTTTAAATTTTTTTTCACCAAATTCTTTAATATTAAATGCGCAAATTATGCTAATCTCTGAATCTTTTTTTTGTATTTCTTTATATATACTTTCAGAAATGGTCGGTCAACTTTTATAAAAGAAATAAATGTAATTAAAGCAGCCACTTTATAATAAATTGAATGATATAAATCTTTTAATGTCAAATTTTTGATATTGTGAATTATTGAGTTACAATTGTTATCAATTGAATTGAATGATATAATTAACGCCCCTTTTCTATAGTTAATATCCTTTTACTGAATATTTCTTTGCTGATTGAACTAATTTTACAATAATATAAAAATATAATAAATAAATATGACACATACTGTATTTATTTGCATTTCAATGTTTTTGTCAAATATAATACAGTATACCAGTAAATATTTATCAATTGGCTTATTCTTTATTTGTTTTTCGTAAATATCAATAAAAAATTTTAAAATATTTGCAGTTTAGGCAAAGTTGATCCGCTTAGCTTAGGCTTATTCATTATTTTTATAATATCAACAAAAATTTTAACTGTTTTTTTAAAAAAAAATATAGTCACACTAGCTATAATTACAATTTGTATGAATTGTATTATTTTTAGATCCCAACTTATTATAAAATATAAAAGAATTTAACTTTATATAAGCACAAGCTTATTATAATCACTTTTTTTGATCCAAGAGTGGAATTATAGTTGGGGCTGACCATATTTGTAGCTTAGTATGAAAATTAAATTTCTACAAACCAAGCCTCCAAAGAATAAATAAATAATTTTTTTTTATAAAGTCTTTTTGATTCTTTTCTTTTTGGTTTTACTAAATTTTTAATGGTTCTGAATTAAAAAAAACGAGTCTCTAAAATGAATTTCAAACTTCTGCCAATCATGATGTTAGCTCTTGTGACTGTTTTCCTTACAACAATTGCAAGCTCTTTTAATTCGGGTATTCTTAGAAGAGAAGCCTATCTTTCCAAAAGAGCCGGCGCCTGTTACTCTCCGCCCCTTGACACTGACAAATGTGTCGACTGTTCTACCAATGCTGATTGTCAGAATTGTGGCCCCTATACTTAATGTCATATCAACAACAACGTTGGCTATTGCTGCCAGTCTAATTATTAATAAATCTTCAAAATTGCAACAAAAATCTGAAGATATGTATATATTATACCAGCCCTGCATATATTGTATGCCATGTGACAGATTACAAATTGTAGTTTATTTTCTTTATTTAACAAAACTAACCACCCAAAAAATAGAATGAAAATGTAAAAATTGTATAAAATCAAAAAACCTATTATTATTTCTATTTCTTTCTCATGTTTTTTTTTACTTATATTATCTCTTCTAGCACTACTTCTATAGCCAATTCACTTAGATCATATCTTATTAATAACGTGGTGTATCTATTATTTTTTTGTCTTGGCATTTCAATAAAGAAATAAACTTTATTTTATCAATCATTTTGTTTAAATATTGATTTGGATGTTTCTTATTTTATTTTTTTAGTGGCTAATGAGGTAGTTTATTACAGACTGTAGGCATTAAATGAAACATACCAAGAATTTTTTTATTAGGCAGCTTGCTATGGTTCTTGATGTTTGATTTTTTTGACAAATTCAAAAATGTTATAGATTACAAAATAACATGTAGAGTATTCGAGTTGATATGAGCAGTAGTTGGAATTACAATATCAAAAGTTGTTAAAATATCTTAATATCAAAAATTTTGGATGGCAATAAAAAAATTCTAAAACTTCGATATATTTTTCTACAGGATTCTGAGACTGAAATGTTTAACAAATTTTTTTTCCTACCAATTCATGGTGGTCATATTGAAAAATTAAAAGTTAAATGCTTTGGCATTATAAATCATATACTCAAAATAGAGAACAGTAAAAAGTTAATTTTAGCCTACTAATGTAAACACTGAAATAATTTTTTAAGCTTGATGTGTTACAAAATATTCAATCAAATCTTTACCAAGCGAAACGTCGACATAATTAGTATAAATAAATCGCATCTACATTTTTGATACTGCATATAAGGTAAATATGGGTATTATAGAGGGTATGGGTATTATAGCAGATCAGTAATATCTCATGATATTTTGCTCAAAATAGAACAATTTTTATACCATTCGATTTGTCTCAATGAGACAATTCGAATGATATAAAAATCGTTAGATTTCGATCACTAGATCTCGAGATAATTGTAATTGAATATTTTTTTAAAAAAAAATTTAAAAAATAATATACACAATTATCTTGTGATCCAGTGATCGAAATCTAATGATTTTTATATCATTCAAATCATCTAACTGAGACAAATCGAATGGTATAAAATTGTTAGATTTGAAGCAAAAGATCATGAGATATTACTGATCCGCCACAATACCCCTAAAACTCCAAAATACCCTTTTAATTTCGTGTAATATATTATCCCAAATAACTTGCGATTCAGTGATCAGAATTAAATGATTTTGGTACCAATCAATTTGTATCGATGAGACAATTTGAATGGTATTAAAATCGTAGCTACTCTGTAGAATCAATAAACTTATTTCTTTATCCGACGGCCTCTTGATACAAACCCCTAGCATGACTACCAAAATCAGTTACATAATCGCCGTTTAAAATCTGATCCGATCTAATCGTAACTCAGCAGGTCAATGGCATTTTTTATTATAATCATATATCGATATCAATATTATTATTATAGTATTATCATTATTATAAAATTTTTATTGTGTAAAATAAGAAAAAGTCAAGTTTATTTGAAATTATTTGAACTTTATTATCTGGCTTTATATATAATACTGTATAACCAGTGTTGTCAATATTGTGTTCTATTGATAAAAATTATATTCTATTCTAATTTCTATTGTTTTATTCTATTGTTCTATTGTTCTATTTATATTAATATTTAATTATAATCTGTTGGCAATTTTTTGTTCTATTGACAAAATTTTTATTCTATTCTAAATTCTATTGCTCTATTCTATTGTTCTATTGTTCTATTGTTCTATTCATCTATTGCTGCCAACACTGTGTATAACATAAAATGTTTATAAATTTCGAATTACCAATAAAAAGTATTTTTATTTTGTTTATTCCAGGTTTTTGGAAGATTTTTTGCTTGGTTCAGATTTTTTATATTCTCTATCATTTTCTGAATTGGTTTGAAATTAATATTTTTCAATCATTTTTTTTGTTGTGGAAGACTATGAGACTTTTAAAGAAGGTCAAGTGTCTATATTATAGTTATCTTTGTTGCTTTTTAAAACTGATTTTAAAGCTGAACAAGTGGTATTGATGAAGGCAATGGGTTCTACAAATAATAGTTAAGAGAATTCCTTAAATTTAAGATTAAATTTAATTTTGACTGAATGGACCTTCAAGTATTTACACAAGTTGAAAAGTTGAATATACTAAAATAATAAGGCTTACACAGTTCAAACTTGAGAATAAAAATTTATCTCTGATGTTAAACACATTTGGGGATGCGTCTTGTCAAATGATTCTTATCGATGAAAATTTAAAATTGTAAGGTGTTGATAAACAAAATCTTTTATTTTGACCAATCATATTTTTCAAATTTGGATAATGGATAATTAATAAACAAAATCATGGCATTATATTTAAATTTAATTGCAAGCATTTTAAGAGGAATAATCAAAATTTACTTTTTTGTGTTCAGTTCTTATTTAAAATAGGAACGTTTCTTAAGACATATTCGTAAATTGCATTAATAATATTGCTCTCATAAGATGATCTTGATACAATTGAAGTTTGCAAGCATAATTTCTGATGAGAGTTTTTTAACCATTATTATTTTTAAATAATTTCTTTTCTCTTTCACATAGACAAACAACATCGGTTGCAAGAAAGCTATATAGAAGTTTAATTTACGATTCTACTATGTGTATAATTTTTTTTATTAAATTTACTCTCATATTTCACTTTTCTAAAGTTCTGAAATAGGGTTGGCTCACTTTGTATTAGACCGTGTATCTGTTGCCGCTATCATTATATTATATATTATTTCTTTTTTTTTTTAATAATATTTCTTTAGAGAATAATGCTCAATTAATTATTGTAGAATGTTTATATTAATTTGGCTTATAATTAATCATCCTAATAATATAAATTCATTTTTCGTTAGACTTGAAATTTATTAATTACTTCTTTTGACTTCTGGCTGGAGCTCAGAGAGCCGGCTTATAGAATGGAGCTCAGAGAG